CGAGGAGAAACGTCTCATGCAGGAGAAGCGCCTCGTTGAGGTGAAGCGTCAAGAGGAGGAGGAGCACTTGATGGAGGAGAAGCGTCTTGTGGAGCAAAAGCGCCTCGAGGAAGAGCAGCGCCTCGACAAGATCGAGCGACAATGGCTCCAGACCGATACCACCAGCAGCAGCACCACTACCACTGACACCACCTCCACCACCGCCGCCATCGCCGCCGCCACGTCCTCCAATCCTGTGTGGGGCCCAATAGCTCCGAGCTTTGAAGAAGAGGGCTTCCAAGAAGATAAAGCAAACTCCGGAGTCGCTGAGCCACGGTAAACCACTCTGCGTGTGCGCCCTGTGTGTTTATTTTTGTTATTTATTGCCATGCTTCTCACGCAGCATCAGCCTTACTCGGTCTCAAGACTTTTTTTCAGGAGGATCCTGCCAAGTTTGCTCGCATTTTTCAAGAAAGTTGCTACTGTTTGCGATCCAAATTGAACAATTTGCATTGCTTGTGTGGGTTTAGTAACAGGGAGAAAGCTGCAGAACATTCCCAGAACAGGTGGCTGCACAATCCACACGGAGAATGTGGCCAAACGTGGAAATCAAACCCAGGTCAATGTTGCTGTGACGCACAGGTGCTCAAGCCCTGTCGCGCTCTCAAAATTCACAGACACTGCAAACTCCACGTGTACATTCCGCTATACTGTGGACAGATTTATTTTTCATAATTGGTTTCTGGGTTAGACCACATAACGAAGTGGGCATATCTTCACCATGTAACCCTCCATCCACCGTGAGATTTTCGCTGTTTATCGCCTGTTGACAGGCCAGCTGCCTAGTCGCTTTGTAATGTACAGCGACAGTTACCACTGAGAGGGGTGTCCAATTTAAAACGCGATGAGATGAGAGATGCGAGAGGCCCATCGCATGCAATGCACTCTGAGATGCCTTCGACGTCAAGGGAGGTGGCTTTCTCGACCACAAATCACTGACGGACACTTTTTTTAAATCGTGGATGTGTTGAAGCGACCAAATTTTCGTGCACTCATTCTTCACCATTACAGTTCAGATCTTGCATCCCGCCCTGGCTATTATTGCTGCTGCATTGACCACACAGATCCACACCCATTCCGTCACAGTGGACGTTCAGGATCTCTATCGATGCCATTTGAAATGCTTAGGACATTATGTGCAAGGGGTCAATTAGAATATACATATAGAATATGTTCAATCTAGATTTGAAGTTTTAGTGACTACAGGGATCCATATTCTTTGGTTATATCGGTAAATTCACGTAGGTATGAAATAAAATAAATTAAATTAAATCACGACGTTTCGATGGCCATGTCGTTATTGCAAGAACGTTTCTTGCTGTGGTTTTCCCACCTGATGATGATTGCTTGTGTTACAATCGAAACGTTGTGATTTAATTTATTTTATTTTATACCTACATGACTTTACCGAAAGAACCAAAAAAATGTCACTTCAAATAATTCAGCTAAATTTGCACAGCAACGCCACCCACTACTGTGAAACTACAGCAGTCTGTGTGAGACACAGCTGCATCTATCTCAAGGATAGCCTGGCGCCATGAGAATGACAGCACCAATACTAAGCACACTCACTAGCCATGTCGTTATTGCTGTTTCTATTCAGCTCGAATTAATCCGCCACACATTCCACCCACGGACGATGCCTTCATATCCGCCTGCCCGCCGTACCTTTCTTCATTATTGACAACTTGCAGCTCAGCACACGGCAGATGCCTGCGCAGCGCGACTCACGACCTCCTCTCGATACCAAGATCCAGGATGGTCATCGTGTCTATGCGCCGCTTCTCGGTGGCAGCCCCAACAGTCTGGAACGATATCCCTCTGCACATTCGCAGCATCACCTCAATCGCCTCCTTCAAGAGACACTTAAAAACTCACCTCTACCTTAATTATGGAGCTTTCGTGACTGCAGGAATTATTCTTTGGTTCTTTCGGTTAAGTCACGTCTAAAGATAAAATAATAAATTAAAATAAAAGCATATTACGACGTTTCGATTGCAACACAAGCAATCATCATCAGGCAAAAGCAAAAAAAAGAAATAGCAACAAAAAATCTAACTAGAAAACTATAGACAGACATACAAGCAGACAGACATCACACGGACACACAGAGAGAGGACACATATCTATTTGTGCCGATATGTGTCCTCTCTCTGTGTGTCCGTGTGATGTCTGTCTGCTTGTATGTCTGTCTATAGTTTTCTAGTTAGATTTTTTGTTGCTATTCTTTTTTTTTGCCTGATGATGATTGCTTGTGTTGCAATCGAAACGTCGAAATATGCTTTTATTTAAATTTATTATTTTATCTTTAGACGTGACTTAACCGAAAGAACCAAAGAATAACTCACCTCTACAATCATGCTTTTGAGCGACTCTGAGCTTGGCTCCGCGCCTCTGAGTTGCGGCCACTACGTCTGCAAATTTTCGCGCGTTACAAATTGAACTATTATTATTATTAGATGGCGATGTCTGCCGTAGCAACAAGGTGGAACGGTGTCGTGTTGTCTCTTCACAGATCTGTGCCAGTGCAGCCCTCCTCCTCACTCGTCCAGGCCTTTGAAGTGAAGACAGAGGTTGTGGAGAAAGAGACGAAGGAAGAGGTGAAGGAGATGATGGAGGATGAGGTAGAGACAGAGGAGGAGGAGAAATCGGAGGAAGAGAAGGCAAAGGAGGACGAGATTGTGATGGTGACAATGGAGGAGAACACGGAGGGAGAGGAGAAAGACAATACAGAGATGGAGGACAAGGAGACAACAAAGGATGAACAGATGGTCGTGGTGGAGGACATGGAGACGACGGTAAAAGGGGAAACAATGGTGGTAGAGGAGGAAGAGAAAACGGTGGTGGAGATGGTGGTGCCGGAAGTTGAGGAGGAGATGAAGGAGGAAGTGATGGTGCTAGCGGAGGAGAAGAAGATGGAGAAGATGGAGGTGGCACAGGAAGAGGAGGAGGTAGAGGAGAAGATGGTGGTGGAGGATGAAGAAGAGGGGATGGAGGAGGATGAGAAAGAGGAGAAAACGGAAGAGGTGCAGGTGGAGATGCACGAAAAGAAGAGGAAGCGAGGGGGCCTCGCTCGCGTGGCGACAGCGATCGCCTCACTCCTCCGCCGCGTGCTGCTTTGTGGTGGCAGGTCCACCGCCCAGTAGGGGTGGTGGCGGTGGTCGTGCATCGGTGCCGACCGTGACCACTATCACCACACTACCCGCCCACCCCGTGATACTCGCTACACACACCACACGGGTCCCCAGAGAGACGGTGCAACGTTCAGGTCCAGAATACCGAAGTATACCGGGAATCACCTGTACTTAAAAACACGTAAATTGATAACACTATAAACAATAACACTAAACATTAAACGACAAAAAAAGCTACCAACTGGTTTTATAATTTATACCACCATAAACGGAGGTACGGTATTTTAATTTCATTAGAAGTATTATAATGGAACTCTACACATGTTTGTTAATTGTCCGTTCAATCGAACCGACGGTCGGATATGTGAACTCTGGGGGTCGAGGGTAAGAATGGCATTCAAATTTTAGAATGACAATTTGGTCGTTTTAGCAAATTACTGTACTTGAATGTATGTTATCTGCAAATGCAAATTGTTAGTCGTAAATGCGAGGGAGGGGTTAAGAGGTGCACGTTTAATCCAGTGTTAACATTTATTTTAGCATCATATTTAAGGACACTGTTGTTGATAAGAATTCGTCTGGACATGTTATGTGCCTTGTTCTACTCGATCAACCAAAATTAGTACAATGTCGGTCATACAGGAGTGTGATTTCATTCATGAGTAGTATTCACAGAGCCCCGATGGTTAAAAAAGTAATCTTGAGTGACTTAATTCTGAGCTCAGACATGATCATCGCAATCATTTCCAAAGACGTGTGGGGTCCTGCGAGAGCAGGTCCCGACTACAAACAGCTGGGCAGCAGAATCGGAAGTAGCTGCGTTGCCCTCGAAATGTGATGTTGCTGCTGTTGTTGCTGCTGTAGTTGCTTCTGTTGCTGTAATAAACGCAGGGAGGTGGTGTTCCGTGATGGGATAACGCCTTTGATTAAAGCCTCTGTTCAAACTCACCCGATTGACGACCTTGATCGTCGCATTTGATCAACTCTGATATTGTAGACTCTCACATGTTAAGCTCTATCATAGTGAAACATAATATTATAACCTAAGAACTACAACCTATCCATTGTAACGCTGTAAAAGAATATTACCCATTGGGTTTCAATTCCTCGTCGAGAAGGCCGCTCTCCTCCTTTTCTAAAGTTACATGCTAATTTCTCTGCATTCACTTTAAATCGAGGACAAAGTTTTTATTCAAAATAAGCGCACAATTACACACTGAGATGCACTTACATATTCATGCATGAAGCACAATGGGCACATTACCCTTCGGTATGTTAATAGACATGCGGATTGTGCCTTCCAAAATTAACAATCGAATGCTAATATCCTGAAAGACAAAGGATTGGATCCAAGGGGGGGAGTTATAAGGCGGCTCAGAAGCAGAGCTCAATGCCATTTCGAGAGGGAACTTGATGAGGTTGGACGCTCGACTCGTCGCTCTGCTGATCGCCCTTCAACCGCGAGACAACGCAGCCTGGCGAGCACAATTGCTGTGTCGACGATTTTGCGTCGGGAGAGTTCGTGGCGACATCTTCAGACGGGTTCAAGACATCGATCTACCTTGAATCTCCAAGTAGGTGTCTATTTTCGCGGATAAACTCTTAAACGTGTTCGTCGTCAAATTAGCGGTATTTTTTTGCGTCTCGGTTAGACGCGAGTGTCGTTCTTGTTTTAGCAGTTTAAAAAATCCAAAACTCCTTTCGGCCGATAGCGTACTTTTGACTCAATAACACCGCTGCTGTTACTACGCTCACATGGAGCAGATACGCTCTCCACATCCCCACGCACACGGAGGCAAGAAGCCATTCAATTGCTCTGTGTGTGAGAAATCCTTTTCACGGCCATCACATCTTAAGAGACACCAGAGAACACACACGGGCGAGAAGCCGTTCCTGTGCTCTGTGTGCGGGAAGACATTTGCACACTCATCACATCTTCAGAGTCACCAAAGAACACACACGGGCGAGAAGCCATTCCCGTGCTCTGTGTGTGGGAAGGCATTTGCACGGTCATCACATCTTCAGAGTCATCAGAGAACACACACGGGCGAGAAGCCATTCCTGTGCTCTGTGTGTGGGAAGGCATTTGCAAACTCATCGCATCTTCAAATTCACCAGAGAACACACACGGGCGAGAAGCCGTTCCTGTGCCCTGTGTGTGGGAAGACATTTGCACACTCATCAACTCTTCAAATTCACCAGAGAAGACACACGGGCGAGAAGCCATTCCCGTGCTCTGTGTGTGGGAAGGCATTTGCACGGTCATCAACCATGAACAGGCATCAGAAGGTCCACAATGATAGGAAACTGAAATCAAAAGCTGAAATTCAAGGTGCTGCAATGAGTCCTGAAGAAGTTTCCACCTTCGATCCCATGCATTTGGATCCCGAGAGATGGCTGGATGTAATGGAGTGGCTCGAGAGTCAAACAGAGAGCTCGGGGTGACTGAAAAAATATGATGTCATGTGGCTATACCTATTAATCCGTATCGAGCACATTGGTGGTTTGTAATATTATCGGATGACTTGCCGAAGTGGTGTGATGAGCACTGGTTGTGAGAGGGTTGAATTGTAGTCGTTAGGTGTTCCTGTTGAGCTAAAGTTGGAATGCGTCTGTAGGTACATCTTTATTCAACATTTTAAACGTTTTTTTCAAGTATATAGCTTTTTTTGGTTGGTATTAATCAACTTTAGATTTCAGGATGTACTTTGATTGGTATTGTACTGGAAAAGTGTGAACATATGACATAATAAATATTCCCTTCGAGTTTTGACGTAAGAATTATTCCAAATGAATAAAAACGTATTTTAACAAATGCTTGTCCGTTTATTTATTTTACAATGTTCATATCAAAAACGTGTTTTAAGCGCGTTTCAGGTGGAGGATCTCCGTCACACAAGTGTGCCCTGAACTGGCAGCATCTTGGCTGTCTACGCGATTAAACACGTGTTCATCAACGTACCAGTCTCTTATCCCGAAGTATGTCGGGGATAAACTCTACTTTATAACATGTAAACTGTATTACTATAAACGATAACACTAAACATTAAACGATTATTAACTAGTGTTTGAATTTATAACCATATAAACGGAGGTAAGGTATTATAATATCATTAGAAGCATTAGAATCACAGTGTGATCGTATAAGAATCACGCACAAACCCATTATAAACTCATAAGATTATGAATCGTTACAATTATTATAACAATCACAAATTGTGACAAAGCGAAATTCCCACAAGCAAAACACCACGCTCACCTGACGAATTCTTAAACAAACTGCAACACTCAAGTGACAGAACTCAACAAAAAAACGCCGCAATAAAAAGAACTACATCAATGGACAAATCCTAAAAACAGACAACACACGCACGTTAGTAGCTGTTAGAAGAAGACAACACCTAGCACCTTCAACTATACACATTATACAGCCAACTCGTAAATGGGGCGGTATATGACAGTCTTCGCTGCTGTCGACGGGGCCAAGCAGCGAGTGTTTAACGCCATTGTTTCAGAATCCGTGTCATCACCCGGCCACAGCGCCTTAGCCAAACTACATCTCCCCAACAAGGCTGCCTTCCCTATTCTGTGTATTTTAGCAGTTTATTTTCGGACGCACTTGAAGATAACAATTCGTCTAGAAAAGGCAGGCGACTTGTTCTACCAACACGATTTCAAATTTCTATCCGAAAGAAGTATGAGTTAATTCATGAGTAGTATTCACTAAGCACCGATGGCACTAACCTACACACAGTTATGATTAAACAAAGTAACATTAGTCAAGAACAGGGCACGGCCACAAACTCTCAGATTGTAAAATAACACTACAAACTAGTGTTATAGTAAACTATAATGTTGCGAACTCTAACAATATAAGCTATGAGCTATACATTATAACGCTATAAAATAACAATAAACTATTGTTACAGATTAGAACACCGAACATTGAAGTGTGATATTCGAATTCTTAGCTTCACACCGTGGTCCTATAAGAATCACACTATGCTCGTGAGTATGTAACATGTCTGTATGTAATATGCATGAATGTAATATGTCTGTATGTAACATGTATGCATGTAACATGTATGTATGTAATATGGACGTGCGAACCAAGGGTGGGATATGTGAAACGGAAGGTGCAGAATCAGGATGGGATTAAAATTGTTTGAATAACACTTTCGTGGTATTAGGATCAAGCTGTCCACTGCTGGGTGAATGTTCTATCTCAATGGCATCAAATAGCAATATTCAGTATGTAAATATAGAATTATCTTACAAACCCAACATAAGCCCGTGCAATTATGATTCGTTACAATTGTAACGACTCGTTTGATAAGAGTATTTGATCAAAGTTTGTTATCCTATCACGGAACACCACTGAAACTTAAGCAGCAACAGTACCAGCAACAACAGTACCAGCAACAACAGCAGCAACTGCAGCAGCAGCAACTGCAGCAACTGCAGCAACTGCAACAGCAGCAACTACAGCAGCAGCAACTGCAGCAACTGCAGCAGCAGCAACAACAACATCACCTTCAGAAATGCTGCGTCCCGCGGCACCATCCAGGCGAGGAAATGAAGAGCAGAGCCCGAATCGACGGCCGCCACCCGAACATCAGCAGCTGTTGATAGCGTGATTCTAATAGGACCACGTTGTTATGAAACTCATTTTGATGCTATTCTAAACCGAGCACCTCCCAGTTTGCATTTACGACTCCCAATGCGCATCTACATATAACATTCACTCTAGCTCAGTGTAATTATAATACAACCATAGTGTTATTCTAATAATTTTCATCCGATTCCTAATCCTGCACGCCCCAGTTCGCATATCCGACCCCCGGTTCGCAAGTCCAAATGGCATGCATACACATTACATACATACGAGCACAGTTCACATGCCCGTACACTATTATACATATGTAGAGAAGTTCCCAGGACGCACTCGGAGACGAATGTGAGGTTTAAGGGCTGTCGCCGAGGGTTTATTAAAGTTATTGACATACACCAGGTGTACCAACTTCCCAGGGGTGAGGGGTGCCGGGCTCGGTCCCACTGGTGCCCCCGACACAGTCGGCTGCCCCGTGCTGCCTCCTCTGCGCCGGCCGTGGGCTCAGCCAACACGGCCGGCCGAGGAGCGCAGCCACCTCCAGCCCTGGCGCTGCGCTCTTTCCCATCCCGACTCCCTTGCCCCTGGCTCCCCGTTCCACCTGACTCCGAGCCCCGACTTCAGCACCGACACCGATTACGACACGGGCTCTACTTTCTGCAAGCCGCTAATGAAAAGAACACGGGGCGGTGGATACACGTGCTTCCATGGGCGGTCGGGGACAGGGCATGCTTGTTTGCCCACAGGTGCCACCGGGTATATCCCCAAGTTGCTCAGTCAATTGCATAGAGGAGAAATGGCTGCAGTTTATAACGAATGTATTTAGGAAGTCGCTGTTGGTTTATCCACCCATCCCGCCTCAAGACTTATGTCCGTCCCCACCCAGACAGCTCATCCCCATGTCCTGTACAGCCCAAGTCTGGTGTGTCCGACGTGGTGGGGCACTCGGCAATGGAAACCGTACGCCAAATGAAATGTGTTGTGGCGCCCATGTGGTGCCACAACGACGGGGCCGCTCTGCCGAACCAGGGAGCCGCCCGGCTTCCCCCACCGCACTGCCCCCCATCACCCGCCCCACATAAGCACACACCCGCACGCATCCCCCCCCCCCCATAGAGCTGGAAGGGAAGGTCACCTGATCGACCGGTTTTTATCCGAGAGACCCTTATCGGGATTAATTCTCACGGTTTCCGGCGATCAGGGAATTGGATGACCTCCCCGTGCTACGTGGCACCGCGGCGCTGCGAACGGCCTTAATATTGTGTGGTCGCGGCGTGGGGCATTCGGCCACCGCGGTTGAGGCGCATTTCCCCCCACACACACCCCCACGAGTCGACGGGGCAAGCAGGGGAGGCACGGGACAGCATGAATAGCGGGCTCACAGGGGCTGTTGCGCATAGTCATGGAGGGTTGGGATAATTGCGCTTGAGCGCGCAGGCCCCATTGTTAGGGAGGGTAAGGGATTAATTAGGATTTACGCCTTGCACGCAGCACACTGATTAGCATATCAACAGCGCCTGGGGACTGCCGTGCGCGGGCTCGGGGTGCACGAGCCCATTGTTCAGCGCAGCATCCCCTTTGGAGGTAGGGAGGATAAATAGAGGAGCGCAGAGGGGAAATCGCTCTCTTACTCCAGCGCCAGGCGACCAGACGCAGCTCGAGCCAGCGACCCGGACGTCCGTGCGACGCACCGAGGCACGCGGTTAACACAAGGATCAGCGGACCGCCGTGGACACTTAACAGTGAGTAAGAAGGTGAATTAGAATCATAGCCGATAAATAGGGAATAGGTACAGGTTTAGTGGAATAGGCCAGCCTCGTCGACTCACTGATTCAACATCAATTCGCAGGTGGCATATAATAAATCATTAATAGCGAAGCGTGGTCTCGCGTGATCTTGTCGTGCAGTGTGAGCGTGTGGGTGCGCTGTGTGCACAGTGGTTCGCCACGTGAGTGAGCGCTGCGCGGAGCTGAGCGCGCGGGTTGCGTGTGGGAACGCGTGTGGTACTGTGTGTGCGTAAGCTCGCGGCGTGCGTAATAGGCGTACCCCAGGTGCGCGATCATAACGCAAGCGGCCAGCAGACGGCGAGCGCTGCGCAGAGCGGCGCAAGAGTGGGTGTCGCGTGTGTTCACTCCGTGTGTGATACAGGTGCGCGATCATAACTTGCGTAGTTGGTGTGGAGTTGGAGTGCACGGAGCGGCGTGTGTGTGTGTGTGCATACGTTCGTTACATGTCGGATACGGATGCGCATTGGTAACGTGCCGCACAGGGCTATACTGCGAGCACGGCGTTTGATTGACGATGATGTGCGCACGTATGCTCGCAGCGTGGGAGCGCGGCGCGAGGCTGTAACAGTAGGGGCGTCGCATTCGAATGCCGGCGATAATAGGGAGGTGGGGTAACGTAAACGGAATAGGGGATGCAGGCGGGAGGGACCCCGGGGGCCAACGGCCCCCACATATTGGTGTCAGAAGGGGGACGATCCCCCGCACCCCCAAGGGAAAGAGGCCCCCCAACCCAGGTTAAAATCAAATGCACATTTACGGGCAAAGGAATTCCATCATGGAAATCGTTTGCCCGCAGCATCAGGGGGGCTAAAAAGGTTCATGGGTGGTCGGATGAGGAGGCGTTGCAGCAGTTAGAGATACATTTAGATGGACGGGCAGCTGACTTTGTGGAAGCTTTGCCCGCAAGCACACAAACTCAGTGGGAAAATTTAATGTGCGAACTCGAACGGCGCTTCGGCGCCTATGACGAGGAGGAGGCGCAGGCGGCCTTAGAGGCACGCCGCCGCCAGCCCGGCGAGGATCTGCGAGATTACGCCGAGGACGTACGCATGTTGACCCAGCTTGCGTACCCGGAGCACGAGGCGAAAGTAATTGAGAGCCTCGCCGCCGGGAAGGTCCAGCGATATTTGGCACGCACCCCGTGGTGGCAGCCAAATATAGACGGTGCACGCCTCTCCTTTAACACACTTGTCGAGCGCGCGCGTAAATGCGAGAAGCTCTCTGGTGAGCGCGCGCAGCCTCGAGGGAGGGGACGAGAGTGCGCCGTAGCGAGCCTACTCTCGGACGAGGAGGAGGAGCTCGCCATCGCAGTAAGGGGACGGGCAAGGGAGCCCCAGAGACCCAGCGAAACAACTCCGGGGTGGGTAGCTGGGTTACAGACCGGCATCGGAGATATGGATGGTAAGATAACCCACGTAGGTGAGAATATGACCAAGCTGAAATCCTCCGTTGAGACCATCCGATCCGAGATGGGGGAACTAGACTCCACGGTAGGAGGGCTAACTGGAAGGATAGCGCTTCTAGAAGCAGAGTATGAGCAGCAGCGCACTGGGGGAGGAGGGAGTGGGCAGAGAGCCCACCACGGAGCCGCCACCCCTCCCCGGGCGTGTTATGTGTGCGATCGGCGAGGGCATCTCAGGAGGGACTGTCCTCAGGTCGCCCGAGCTAGACAAGAGCTAAGGTCAAACACTAAGGCCCCCCTAGAGAGGGGACCGCCGGTGGGTGAAATCGACGTAGCCCCGACACAAACAAGCTGTGAGAATAATGGCGAGCGAGTGATCTCCACACAGGTTCCAGCAACAACGCCCACAGAAACGGCGACTCCTGGCGACTGGCTACGGGAGCTGGTGGCGGGGATCACGGGGGCCACGTCGCTGGTGGAAGGGGAGGTTAACGGAGTGCGTACCCGAATCCTGCTGGACACGGGGGCGGTGGCCTCGCTCGTGAGCGCACCGCACTGCAGCGCGATCGGGGTCGACGTGCGTCACCTGCAGGCACCGGACCGCGCGCTGCACACGGCGAGCGGAGCCGGAATGGGGCTGCTGGGGAGAGCCACCTTAGAGGTCCGCATAGGCAGCCAGGTGTGCACCCAGGAGTTCTACGTGTCGAGTGCGTTGTGTCACGAGTGTATCGCAGGTACCGGCATCTTAGAAGGGTTGGGACTCAACGTGCAACCCCGCCAGCGATGCGCCACCATGGAGAGCAACGGCGAGCGGATACCGTTCCTGGGACGAGAACCAACGCGCCCCCGCTTCGCACCTGTGGCCGCTATCCTGGCGACGGTAGTCACCATCGGGCCGCTCACCGAGATGCTGGTGCCGGTGGCAACATCCCCCACCAACCCCGCGCTCCGACCATCAGGGGAGGTAATGCTAACTCCTCACCCGGAGTTGGCAAAACGGTATGGGGTCGTGGGATCCGCCACGTTGGTAAACGCAGATGGGGACCGATTGTTTATGCGGATGTTTAACCCCCACAATACCCCAGCGATACTGCGACGGCGCACCCCGATAGCCACAGTACACCCCCTGCACGCACGCCACTCTAACGCCTCGGTGTTCGCACTCTGGACTGAGGACCCCGGTCGTCCTGAGGGTGAGCAGGACCTGGCCTGGCGAGTCGGCCCGACTCCCCGAGCCGAGGTCGTTCCCCTGCTCGACGCGTTACATGTACCATGGGCGGACTTACCTAAGGGAGAGGCCGATCGGCTGCGCGAGTTACTGCAAGAGTATGCCGACGTGTTCAGCGAACACGACTCGGACGTTGGTCTACACTATGGGGACCTCATTTGCCAGTAAAAATATGATAATTGGTTCTTTACCCTTCTATCTGGCAACAAAACTGACACCTTTTTGCAAGGAGTCATGTTTGCATAGACCGCAATACCTGCAAAAAGGTGTCAGTTTTGTTGCCAGATAGAAGGATAAAGAACCAATTATCATATTTTTACTGGCAAATGAGGTCCCCATAGTGTAGATGCTTGCCCCGAGCTCTCATACTCTGATGGTGCATTGTCCTTGAGTTGTGCGCCTTTTGGCGTCATCTGGTCCAACCCATATGAGACTAGGCTCGAAGGAAAGCTGTCTCGGGTGTGGACCAATCAACTTCAAGGACAGTGCACATTATCAGAGTTATGTCTTTTGTTTGTATTTATGACTGCAGGTATTGCGGTCTATGCAAACATGACTCCTTGCAAAAAGGTGTCAGTTTTGTTGCCAGATAGAAGGGTAAAGAACCAATTATCATATTTTTACTGGCAAATGAGGTCCCCATAGTGTAGATGCTTGCCCCGAGCTCTCATACGCTTATGGTGCATTGTCCTTGAGTTGTGCGCCTTTTGGCGTCATCTGGTCCAACCCATATGAGACTAGGCTCGAAGGAAAGCTGTCTCGGGTGTGGACCAATCAACTTCAAGGACAGTGCACATTATCAGAGTTATGTCTTTTGTTTGTATTTATGACTGCAGGTATTGCGGTCTATGCAAACATGACTCCTTGCAAAAAGGTGTCAGTTTTGTTGCCAGATAGAAGGGTAAAGAACCAATTATCATATTTTTACTGGCAAATGAGGTCCCCATAGTGTAGATGCTTGCCCCGAGCTCTCATACTCTGATGGTGCATTGTCCTTGAGTTGTGCGCCTTTTGGCGTCATCTGGTCCAACCCATATGAGACTAGGCTCGAAGGAAAGCTGTCTCGGTTGTGGACCAATCAACTTCAAGGACAGTGCACATTATCAGAGTTATGTCTTTTGTTTGTATTTATGACTGCAGGTATTGCGGTCTATGCAAACATGACTCCTTGCAAAAAGGTGTCAGTTT